GTTCAAAGTGCTGCTAAAAAGTAAAAAAATGTCGACAGAATAGCTTCACTATCTGTTCAAAGTGCTGCTAAAAAGTAAAAAAATGTCGACAGAATAGCTTCACTATCTGTTCAAAGTGCTGCTCAAATGTAAAAAATGTCGACAGAACAGCTTCACTATCTGTTCAAAGTGCTGCTCAAAAGTAACAAATGTTGACAGAATAGCTTCACTATCTGTTCAAAGTGCTGCTCAAATGTAAAAATATCAACAGAATAGCTTCACTATCTGTTCATAGTGCTGCTAAAAAGTAAAATATGTCAACAGAACAGCTTCACTATCTGTTCAAAGTGCTGCTCAAAAGTAACAAATGTTGACAGAATAGCTTCACTATCAGTACCGGTTGCAGTTCTTGGTCTTCCCACATCGGTTAAATGGTTCTGTAGAACACAAATTTCCTATCATCTGATGTGAAAGATTATGCTAATGTGGGAATGGTGATGCATAACCTGACAGTAGCCTGGATATTCTGGTGACACTCTCTCTACAGTAGGACTATGTTAAACTCTTCTTCTTCTGAATACTGTGCTATTATTTAGATGATTTAGGAGCAGTTGCAGCATATGTGCTACAATATTTTATTTTAATATTATAATGTGTTTGGTGGAAGGGTCAATGTGGGGTATGATTGAAGTTCATTGATTGATTAAATTATGTTTCTGGCTTTTATTTGAGTGACAGTTGTGTTTTGTCCCTGCATTTTGATCAGTGGCTACCATGAAGTGCTTTTCTCCAAACCCACATCTCTATTAAATGAAGGCTTTTTTATGTTTTGATTTTCCAGGACACATCTGTGTCAGTGATGCTTTATTTGTTCTAGTTGATAGTATTTTACTTTTTGGAAAGTTTTGTATTTTCATTAGTTTGGTATCATCTTTGTGGTAGTTTATTCTTACATCAAAACTTATGAACAAGTGCTGCCATTCTTATTCTGAACTGATCACAGAAGATGTCACCACTTTATCCCTCTTTACTTAAACCCTTTTGTTAGTATTCTTCTGTTTGTGTAAGGCAGTTAGCAATAATTTTTACCTTTGTTTCATCACAAGTACACTGCTTAAATCATTACTTGGTATAAAACAAAACCAACCATCAAGTTATGTCTAAAAGATATTTCTGAATCACTAAGTAACTGTTAATAGATCCAGTTCTGTATGGAAAACTATTGGTTATTAAGTAGTTTAAAAAATGTTATAGATTCAGAGTTTTGTAAGCTTATTGGCAATAGCATTCTCCTTTATTAACCAAGCAAGAGAAAACTATAATTTGCATTTTTTTAGACATGGTTAAATGGTTAACATCTGCTTAGTATAGTAGGCAGTTGTAGAAAATCAGATGTTATTGTGGCACCTTAAATAAAACTATAACCACAGGATTAATCAGCAGATAATTTAGATCTTCAGAAATAGATACACTATTTTTGTAAATTTTTTGTGTGTACTGCATAATAAAAACAATAACATGATATACCTTTTTATTTATATTGAAAAGATGGTGCTCATCTTTTGCATCATCTATATATGATACAATAATATTTTCTAAAAGTCCTGTATTTATGATCAAACCATAGCAGAAGTTTCACCGAACATCTCTACATCTCCTGCCCTTGATGCCTCAGACTGAAATTCTGTCACCATCTGCTGCTGACTCTGTTCAAGATTCCTAAAAATGTTCTTGAAAGGTTAATGACATGACAATTATTGTACTTAAAAAAAAAGACAGTGAAAGACAAACATGACTCAGAAACATCATGGCAGTGTATGACCATTGCATCTTCTTGTACGAAAAAAAAACAAAAAACTGTCCAGATTTATTCAGGTTATGTTGAAGTTAACTTTACAGGTATCTGTGTGTCTGTCTGTGTACAAGTGGTATGATTAGAGATTTGTCTTTTATTATATAGGATTTTTTTATCCCTGATGTTTTTTCTTCAAAAATTCCAAGAATTTATTAATGAACAGTATGCGAGTAGAAAAGAAAACGAAAACTTTGAAAGTAAAAATATGTTGTAGAGGCTAGTAAATCAGCACTTCAATCATCGGCTTCCTTTGTTATACCCCATCTCCCAATCTTTCAATTATTCAGTATTATATTGTGTAAAACTCAATTTTGTGTGTTAATAGAATTTAGAAAAATTTAAATAGTGAGATTATTATAGAAACTTAGGTTATAGTAATTTTTGATGAGGTATTACCATTCACTTTGATACATTTTTCTGATGTAGGAATTGTTTCCAAGTAACTGTATAATACATGCATTCATGCTTTTAAGCAGAGGTGGGAGATACAATTCCATTCATATGTGTGTGTAAAAAACTTGAGATACCATCAAAATACACTACTTTTAGAGAAAATTACAAAATATTTTAGAGGACGGCATTCCTCAGACCTCTTAGTATGACTTTGCTATTAACTTCTCAAAAGTATCACCTCTGTAGACAGATTTCTGCTTTACACTTCTATGACATATATTTATACTTTAAGTGTTAACTTAAAAAAACAAAACCAAAAATCTTAAATATTTATATGTTTAACAGACTATAAAAGGATAAAGTTTAGGTATCTTAAATCTTTAATTGTAAAATTTGTTTTCTGAACTTGTGTTTAAACACATTTAAGGTTTTTCAGTGTATTAGACAAAGTGAAAGAACATACAATCAATAAGACATTTACAACTAAGCATCTACTTTCACAAACGTTTTTTTTTAATAAATGCCATACTTTTATTTTTATTTCTTGACTACAGTTCTAGTTCATCCTCATGGTACAGTCTGGCTAGATTTTGGTACAGAACTAGCATTACAGCAGTCTTCTCTAAATAACCTCGGTTTTCTAAGAAGAAACAAAACTTCTTGTGATGATGTTTTTTTTCTTTGCCCATCCATGATAGATCCGTAAAAGTTTACTATTTCAATCACTCAGAAAAAGGGAATTATCTTCCATTATCAAACATGATGAATAAAGAGTGCTAGGTTGACCTTTCCCTAACTGCTGTATCATAGAAGTTGAGTTGGACTCTTCTACTGATGGTAAACAATTTGGGTACAGTAGAAACAATACAAACCCAACTCCTGTCTAAACGTTGTGGATTATTTACAAAGCCTGCCTTTGAGCTCAGGAAATAAAGGGTATTTTACTGACTGGCTGCCCTTTCCTTAACCTCAGTTTTCCTACACAGAAGCTGGAGTATTGATTTCACCAGTTGTTATCATCATGATACACACACACAAAGACAAAAAAAAAGCACTTTAATATTGATTGAATATTGAATATCTGTACAGCATATAGCTTCTAAACTACAATTACAACTAATACAGCTAGATTCACTACATCACTAACAGCTGGTGTTCTTCTTCCTTCTCCAGCTTGGCCAAACAGCTCTACAGAAAGAGCAAGAACTTTGTACATTGTGCATATGAAATAGTTTAAATACACATTTAAAATATCTTGCCCATTTTTTAGGGCAGGTATGGCTGGCTCAATTTAAATTTTGAAAATTAATCAGAAATGACACTCAGGATAGAGTATGAAAATATTAAACTTTTCTTCGAAGTGGCAGGGAGGACACCATCAAACCGAGTCAACAAAACTTCTAACTTTTTTTTCTTTTCCAAAAATACTTGTATAATATCTTTTAGCAATGGTAAATTGTATGACAGTATAAATCAATGGCTACTGAAAACAACTACTAGCTTTCAATATCAAACAATGATTTGTTTTTATCTCATCTTTTCATGAAACATAAGTGTGAAGGACAAGCAGGTTGGAATGCCAGCAACTTTCAAGTGCTTCATTCACACTTAGTTAAAACCCAGAAACAACAGTTATAGGTATTAAGGCAGGGCACCTATTGTCTAACATCACTAAAAACTTGACACTTTATTGAGAAGACTGTCTGTCCTTGTTGTTTCTACCCATGCTGTAAGAAAGAGAAGTGTATAGATGGCCAGACATTCTTGTTTCAGATAAGGACTGGAAACTAGGCCAGTGTAGAGACATCTACACACCTCTCCCAACCTTCGGAATCCTCACAATGTGAGTAACACGGGAGGAGGCACCTCTTTTTCTCACTTACTGAGCCTGATACTGTTGCATAGGGTAGGCACCAATAACACTTGGCTGTTGCAGGCCTTGTCCCATGGGGCTTTGAGCAACTGCTGCAGCCATCTGGGGTTGTCCTGGAATTCCCTGCCAAGCCATTTGCATTCCCAAGCTGTCAAAAAAAGTTTAGCCCATTTGATAAAAAGAGACACCATCAAATGAACATCAGTATTTAACAATTTCAAATTCTAAACCCTTTTATAGGTGATTAAATGTTTTTATTCATTTCTGTGTATCATTATGGAGAAGCATGAAAGTGACAAGAAATGTTATCAACATTATGAAGGACAGTAAACATGTTACTCCAGAGGCGTCGCTAGGTGCTTAAAATATTCGGAGCTTAGGCCCATAGGCATGGGATTTTTGGTCATTTTAGCACGATATTGATCCTGGTTTTTTATTCTGATATTTCAAGACACCAACTGTCAACTAGAATTGAGGCACGAGCCCCGTGTACCAGTGCCTAGCAACACCTCTGTGTTACTCACATTCCTTCAAAGTAAATTCTTGAACTCTTAATGGCACAACTAACACTTGAGATTATCAACAACTACTAACAAGCAGCAGCAGAAGCTAAATATTTTCAGTCACATTATTGAAATCTGAAAAAGGGACTTAATACTCTTAGTAGAAAAATATTACCTTTTTGTGTTCTTTTCACCTATAAGCCACACACATGGAAGTCGTGTTACCAAATTTGTCCAATGGAACTAATACTTTTTTAGTGCAAAAAAATCTAATTCAGAGTGAACCTACGAAAGCTCCAGCTGTACCATAGTTTGAACTTCTATAGATTTCTTTATAATTATATGGAAATTATATTGTATTTTTATGATCCAGATTTTACCTTGTTGCACAGTAATATTTTTGCCATAGTTAAGTTTATAGCCTAAAACACCTTTGATACAGATATGCTCAATGAATGATTGGATGTCAAGCTTTTTTTATTTATAATGTATAGTGTAAATAACCAAGTTTTCTATTAAACACAAAACATTTTTGACACTATGCCAATAAGAAGTAGATGTTTTTGTAAAAGCATACAAGATTTTGTGGAAGTTAGTGCATCACATACAATCCTTCCAAATGTATAGTATATACACACATCTTTATAATAATGATTAATGGAAAGTTACAGACTTACCCATATCCTTGTCCATAGTACTGGCCATAAGGATAATTCATGCCCTGAACAAACTGTCCCTGCACTGGAGGATAGCCTTGAGGGTACCAGTAGCTTATCTGTTGGTAGGGGTAGGTGTAAGGGGTTGTCACATTCTGTAGAACACACACAAGTTTATCAGATGTTATTAACAGTGCAACTACAGATAATGGTCAATGTTAATGATCTGGTGCACAGAACGTTTGTGTTATCTACAAAGGATTCCATACCTCGAAAATGACTATAATGAAAATCACTGGGTAGTTGGAGTGGCAAATTTAAGCTTAAAAATTATTAAAACTTTTGATTTTTCTCCAATTCTTGCCCAAAACCAAATCATTACGGTAAGCTAGGCTTTATTTACCATTTAGTACAGACAGTATCTGAATGTTTTATAGTCCTTATAATTAAAAATTATTGCACACATATTAGTTGTAAGTTTAAAAGTCTAGTTGGAATTTAGTGGGGCACTGGACTCAAGGAAACTGAATTAGCACTAGTCTGCTGTAATGAATTAAGTTAGACACTTAAGCATAATTTGCTTCTGTACATCATAAGATAACTTAGAAGTTAAAGTTTAAAAGAGCCGAAGAGATATTTCAAGTGAGCAAGGTACTCTTTAATTTTTTCAAATAAATGATTACTAGTGAACATTTAATCAGTAAACATTACTCAGAAAACCAACATTACAACCCCCCTTATCAGTTATTTGTTGACTATTCAGACTCAGTATTCTTTATTATTCTCATTATCAATATAAAAGAGGATAATGTTCTATGTATTAGTAATATGACAGAATAAGTTTTTTTCTGGTCCTAAACTGCTTTACAGTAGAGTTATTTGACTAATAATTAAAAAAAACGATCACTGTTAATTGTTTAATATAAATATATGTCCTTATACTGTGTTGAGAAGTAAAAAAAAACAAAAAAAACTAACTTCTCTAAATGAGAATAATTAACTGTCATGGTAGTTATTTTTTAAAGTATCTTTATTGTGATAAATATCTACAATAACATACTCATTTCATTGGTTAAAACCATGTGCATTGTGCATTTACTGATAGCAGGACCAATCTATAACAATAAATCTTCAAACCACATATCACCAATTGTCACTATTATTCACTACTAGTCTCTCTAATAAAAGTACAACAAAATATTTAGTGTTTAATCCTTTAAAATAATAGGTTGTAGGGGGGGGGGGTACGTGCAGTACTGCTCATGAACTACTTTCTGCAAGGTAATGTAAAACTTACCTGTGTTTGTTGTTGATTAATTGGGTCTCCAGTTTCTTTTCCCCAAGAACACTTGACTATTTGACCATTGATTTCCAAGTTGTGAGTGCCAACTATAGCATGTGTTGCTGCTTCTTTGGTGGCAAACCTGTTTGACAAACACTTCTGATTTTTAGCCAACAGACAAGTGCACTTAAACAAATTCAGTTAAAATCAAACAAAATCTGAGAAAGTACTTCTTTTAATCACCAAATAAAAAGTTGTCTTTTACCTCTCAAAAAAAAAGGCTGTTAGTATAGTGATGTAGCAGCATTTGATCTTAGATAAAACCATTGTGTTGATGAGAGAAATTAAAAGTGTCAGTCTCTTCTAGCTTGATATATAAACTTCATATGTGGAGTGGTAACACTAAATAAACAACTTCTTAAAACAAAGATCATTTACCTAATAAATGCATAACCTTTATCTTTGAACACTCTTATTTCCTGGATTGGGCCATACGTTATAAAGGTTTTGTGCATAAGTTCATCTGGAAATTACAAAAATAAAAAAAAGTCATATTTCTTATACTTACAACAACAACAATTAACTAAAAAGTGGTTCAATTTTTAGTGCTTACAGATGAAATGGTATCTTTATTATGATCATAATTAATAAAATTAAAACATTTTAAGAAAAATTAGTTTAGCTTTCTGAAAAATCTAACATAGTAGTTTTGTAATAAATTATCTTTGGTAGAGTGTATATATATATATACACACATATAACAATGATACAAGCATGTATATTTATCAATAAAACCTGTTCTGACTAGTAAGCTTAATCCATGTTTACTTCATATGGTAATAAATCAAACATATTAAACTCACCAAATAGATTATTTATGGAAAAAAACAACAAAACATACTCCATTTAATAAACAAAGTAGATTAAATTTTGGTTTACTTTAAATAAATACGAAAACAAAATTCTACTGATCACAACAATGAGATTAATGGATTAAACCATGATCTGCTTTGAATAAACATGATAAAAAATTTCTCCTTTTCTCCTAACCTTAAAAAAATGATTAGCAGATTAAAACCATAATTCAGTTTTAATAACTATAAAAAAAATTCTAATAACCCAGAATGAATTGAATTATAGATTAAGCATCTAATTTATTTTGCACAATTATGGAAGAACTTCTTCTGACCAGAACAAACTCAATAGATTAAACCTTGATTAATCTGAGTAAATAAGAAAAAAAACTTGTTAGTAATCAGATCAGACTAGATAGATTAAACCCTGTTTTACTTCGAGTAAATATGAAAAAAATTCTTATTCACCAGAACAGACTAGAAAGATTAAAACCTGATTTACTCTGATTAAATATAAGAAACTTCTCACTGACCAGAACAGACTACACAGATTAAAACCTTGATTTACTTTGAATAAACATGAAGAAACTTTCTAACAATTGTTTGTATTTCAACAAAAAGCTACACAATGGGCTGTCTGTGCTGTGCCATTGTCGTATCAAAACCAAATTTTTTTTAGCATCACGAGTCCACATGCATACTGCTGAGCCAATGGGGCGGGGGGCTTCTACTGACCAGAACAAACCAAATACATTAAATCATGATTTACCTAGAATAATTATGAAACAAATTTCTGATGTTAGTAGGAATAATTTGTTTTACTGGCATAAAAAACAATATTTTGACCTAAAGTAATGACTCTTTTTCAAGCTACTGTTATTGCAAATCAGTAAATAGGAAATACATAAGTAAGTGAAAGTAAAAAAGACATTGTTCTTTGCACCCAACATAACTTCTTCAAAGCTGTCCAAGCATTACAAAAATGTAGAAGCCATTTAACCCTTTTGAAACAGTTCACTGGTGAAAGGCCATGTGATCTTGTTTGTTGACTTGCATTCAAAATTTTATTGAACTACTATTCATGAATTTATGTCAATAAGTTTGGTATCAAACTGTAGATTATAATTCAAATTTTAGTATTATACATTATTTAATTTCTTAATATTTAAAATATTTGAAAACAGTTAAACATCAATTTTTGTGTGTCACGTGATATGTTGAATGCAGCACTGGTTCAAATTAGATGTTTGTGATGTCAAAATACTAATTCTATAGTTATGTACGAATTAGGAACTCAAATTACCGATACTGACAAGCTAGAATATAAAATAAGTACCACCTATCTTTTCTCTTTGCTGATATATCACTCATGTATTGAATCAAACACAGTGGCCCTGCTCACCTCTTTCCATTTTTGGAAATGGTCGCTTATATATACTTACTTCAATATATATATGTGAATAACCATTCAAAAGCTCAGAATGTCTCCCTAGTGGCTTTCTCAGCTATTTTCACGTGTTAAGACACCATCTCTTAATTTTGAACTAAGATTTCAAGGAAGTAGGTTGTGTCTTTAGTTTGCTCAAAATTTCATATTTTTTTAGACCCAAATACAGCTAAGTTACTAAGCTTGATAAATTATAGTGGATTTCTATGGTATCAATATGGCAATTTATGACTTTTTGGTTATTCATCTGTATATATAAAACCTAAACAAAATCATTTTGTTTCATATCCTCCACGTGCGAAATTTTAAAAGGATTAGCACAACCTACATTAAGCACCAAGTGAGTACAAATGTCGTAACTAGAAGAGATAATTCTTTGCTTTACTTCTTTATTTACTCTCCTATTTCTAAATAGTAATAATCTATATACGTATATAATGTATAATAATGGAAATGCGACTGTATTTCACAAAATACTAGTCTACTAAAACAGCCAAGACAGGTTACTTTGTAAAGACTAAAGGTCAGTTTTATAATATTTGATATGGTAACAAGAGAGCACGTGTGTGACGTATCATTGTAACTTCTGTATTGTTAGCCAGGCATGGGTGAAAGGTTAATATAATAAAAATAATAAATATATGTAAATGTATAATGTTATGAGATTTAAGTATTTAGTCTAAACATTTACATTTTCATGTTATAGCTTGTTGTCATTCTAGAACGAAAAAGGTATAATTTATATTTATTTCCTAATTTTTTATGGTGGTTACTAGATTGGTCAAATCTACCAAACCCATACAGAGATACATTAGTGAAAATAACAGATAAAATATAGTTTTTTCTTAAGAAACATTTGACAACTATCTGGACTTTATATAGATTTTGCACGTATAATTTGAAAATTTTCTGATGCATAAAAGTATTTTTAATCTCAAAATGAAAATGACTTTGAATGTTGAATAGGCAACGTACAAAAAGAAAAAAAAAGGCATGAGAAAAACATTGCTTTACAAACCTTAAGACTTAATAAAAAAATCTGATATTTTGCATATTAAAACATTTTAATATTTACTGATAATCTGCCAAATTTCGTTAACTTATGCTTAATAATTTAAAAGTTTTAGCATGAAAACTATAACAAGCACAAAATGGTTATGAGGACCGAGCCCATGCTGAAAGAGTTAAACTTATAACAGTATTGTTTTATTGCCCTTTAAACTGTGTCTAACTACTATTCACACCATTATAGGTTGTAAATCACTTGGGGAATGTGGAGGTCACGTTATGCTATCAACTTACGTTACCCACAAGCAGTGGTGGGATTCAAATATTTTAACAACAGGTTCTCTCACT